CAGGAGAACACACATTGATAAGAGCTCTTAAAACATGGAATTCGGGACAAATAACCCCCTGAGGAACAGTAGTGGGAATAGTAATATCATGAGGGCAGGGGGATGGTCAGGGAGAGGGAAGGGGGAGAAAGGGGGAACCCATCACAAGGTTGGATATATAGCCCCCAACCAAGGGGATGAATAACAGACATGTGGGTAAAGGGAGACAACAGACAGTGTAAGATACCACATAGTAATAACAAGATATAATTGATCAAGGATTCATGAGGGTGGCAGGGTGTGAGAGGGAAGGGAAAAAAGAGGTTATGCCAAGGGTTCAAGTACAAAATGTTTTGGAAATGATGATGGCAACATATGTATAAGTATGCTTGACACAATTGATGTATGGAATGTTGTAAGGGCCCCCGATAAAATGCTAAGAAGAAAAAGAAGAAGGAGGTGGAGGAGGTGGAGGAGGAGAAGAAGAAGGGCTTTTGACTTTATATCCATTCCCTACTCTTTGGGCTAGGGACCCTGGTGGTGCAGAAGTTAACTGCTCAGCTACTAACTGAAAATTAGCTGTTCCAACCCATCTTCCAGAATGATGTGGGTGTCGATTTCCGTAAAGATTTACAGCCTTGGAAACCCTAAGGGGGGGATTCCTGTCTGGTCTCTACTTGTCCCAATGGGTACTTGGTCTTTGCCTGCTGACCTGCTCCTAGGTTCACACCAGCAGCATCTTAACAGATCTTTCAACTTCCTCCAGAGAATAATACATCAGCATCATAGCACAGCAACTCTTACAGATTCAAAAGCACTCCCTCAATGCCTGCCTTCTTCTAAGACCTTGATCTTAGACTTTACACCAACGTTTGCTGCCTAGCAGAATTTTCTATGGGGGTGGAAATAAGCTATGCCTGTGCTGTCCAATATGGAAGCCACACCTGAGCACTTGAGGGGTGACTAGTGTGACTAAATAATGAATTTTTTTCCTTTTATATAATTTGAATGGATTTGCATTCAAATAGCCACATGGTCAGTGTGCAGCACAGTTGAAAAGGTTGGTGGGTTATTTATTTTAGACAGAGCTCGGTTTTCATCATTCGTTCACCAGGCAGAAATTAATGAGCCAGAGGGTGAGTGAACCGTTCTGAAATATTCTTGGAGCTGTGGAAATTTTCCAAGAAGTTGCAGATTTCGTATTTTATTTTATTTCACCCTCCCACCACTCCCCTTGTCATGTGCTTTAAAAGAGGTTGATGGAATGAATGCCCAGGGTAACATGGAATTGTCTCCTCCCATGAAAACACAAAAGATGTGGATGATATTCTTCAATGAAACCTCTTGGTGGTCCAACCATCCCAAGTGATCAGCTGTGACAGGTCCTTGGCCATCAATTGAAAATTGATTTTCTAAAGGAAGGCAAGTCACTTCTGTGTATGGAATAGAATGGAATGAACTGATGAAATGAAAGGCTTTTCTCTTTTGGGGTGCCCAGGGTAAAACAGTGCTCAGATAAATATGTGGTGCAATGTGAAGGGCTCCGCTGCTAAGCCACTGGATTCCAACCCACCCCCTGACTCCACAGGAAACCATCCCTGAGATCTTGTCCCTTAAAGTTATCACAGCTAAGAATACTCTTTGAGGGCAGTTCTACTCTGAGGCAGAATTCACTCTGGAGCATACAACCCCCTGCTCGCACCCCACCTCTACCACTTCCTCTGATTAAAACTACCTTACTCGGGCACCATCAGCTTTCTTCACCACATTTGGTTAGGCACCCATTTGTCTTCAGCGATTGTAATAGGAAGGTGAGCTCACAATGATATGATGTTTTGTTCTTTGATGCCTGATACCTGATCCCAAAAGATATAGTGTCTGGGGTCTTAAAGGCTTGAAGGTAAACAAGCAGCCATCTAGCTCAGAAGCAACAAAGCCCACATGGAAGAAGCACACCAGCCTGTGTGATCATGAGGTGTCAAAGTGATCCGGTATCAGGCATCAAAGAACAAAACAATCATATCATTGTGTGCTCACCTTCCCGATATGATCACGGAAGACAAATGGGTGCATAAGCAAATGTGGTGAAGAAAGCTGATGGTGCCCGGCTATCAAAATATATAGCGTCTGGGGTCTTAAAGGCTTGAAGGTAAACAAGTGGCCATCTAGCTCAGAAGCAACAAAGGCCTTTGCAATCACGAGGTATTGAAGGGATCAGGTATCAAAGAACAAAAAACCATATCATTGTGAATGAGGGGGAGTGCAGATTGGGGACCCAAAGCCCATCTGTAGGCAACTGAACATCCCCTTACAGAAGGGTTGTGGGGAGGAGAACAGCCAGTCAGGGGGCAGCGTAGCAACGATGAAACATACAACTTTCCTCTAGTTCTTAAATGCTTCCCCCCTCCACTATCATGATCCCAATTCTACCTTTCAAATCCAGCTATACCAGAGGGTGTACACTGGTACAGATAGGAACGGGGAACACAGGGAATCCAGGAGAGATGAACCCCTCAGGACCAGTGGTGAGAGTGGCGATACCTGGAGGGTAGAGCGAAGGTGGAGTAGAAAGGGGAAACCAATTACAAGGATCTACATATAACCCACTCCCTGGGGGACAGAAAAGGTGGTGAAGGGAGACGTCGGACAATTTAAGATATGACAAAATAATAATAATTTATAAATTATCAGGGGTTCATGAAGGAGGGGGGAGTGGGAAGGGCTCAAGCAGAAGGCAAAGGTTTTGAGAATGATGAGGGAAACAAATGTGCTTGACACAATGGATGTAAGTATGGATTGTGATAAGAGTTGTACAGCCCCCAATAAAATGATTAAAAAACAAGCAAACAAACCACCTCACCCAGATTTCTCTGGTTTGTGTGTGGAAACAGGAGATCACACTCGTCCATCAAACCAGAACCACACTGCTCTAGAGCCCATTCTGACTTACAGTGACCCGAGAGAGGGTAGAGCTGCCCTTGTGGGTTTCTGAGACTGAAACTCTTCATGGAAGTAGGAAGCCAAGTCTTTCTCCCACAGAGCAGCTAATGGTTTCAAACTGCTGATCTTGGTCAGGCCAACTGGTAAAACCATTGCTCCACCAGGGCCCCTCCACTTCTCTAAGATGAAGAACATCTCTAAAATACCGATTTGAAGACTGAGTTGCATTGCAGCTTTAGTACTCACTGGAGCTTAGACTGGGAGAGAAAGAACTTCAGTAGCCCTTGGTTCGAACCATCTGTCGTGAAAATGTGACATATGTTTGCTTTGTTTACTTCACAACCCAGCGTAAACTGATACACAACTAGAAATCTGTGGAAGGCTGTATGGTGACTGTGTGTGGATGGGTGTGAGTGTGTGTGTTGGGGTGGTGGCAGCTGGGTGAAGGCTTCAATCTCCTCACACCTGGTCCTGAGAAACACCTGCTTAGCAAATGAGGATGGAATAGATGGGTCCTCCCCAGGGCCTGGGATGTATATTGAGGCACAGACCCACATTGGCCATGTGAACAGGAAGCCTCTCCTACTCTAGCACACTCCATGCAGCCTCCTCAGGCTCCCCAGGGTGGCTTCTTGGGGAACTCCCCACCCTGCCTCCGCCTCCTGCCTCCTTTCCCTTCCACAATGGCTTCCAACTTGAACAGAAGCCAGTGCCCTTTTCAATTAACCCCCCTCCATTGGAATGAGCGTTTCCTTTCTCTCCTCTACGGACTATTGTTTGCTGTGATGGGTTCGCTGATTTGACAGCTGGACTTGCAGGAGACTTGATTCAAACCTGGTTGGTTTCCCTGAGATATGAACTCAGACATTAGCAAAAATCTCAGACAAAAGTCCTGAAAAACCAGCCATCCTCCACTGTGGACAGCGCCCCCAGCCCCCTTCTCTGGACTCAGTGTAGACTTCAGAGCCCCAGGCGTCCCCAGACATGATCAGAGGGGAGATGTGTCCCAGGAGGGAATGGGCTCAGCAGAGAATGAGTTCTGCAGGGCTTGGGAGTGGGGGTGGGGATGGAGGTCTCTGTGTGTATTATAAATTATAAATAAATTATATACGTATATAATTTACTTTTGAAACAGCCAAGATGGATGTCAGCTTATCCATTTCCTAAAGCCAGGTCAGGCAGCTGGGAGCAGGCTCTGCTTTTGTCTCCTCGTCCAGGCAGGAGGAGAGAGGGAGAGACTGCGAGGATGTGTGAGTGAGTGTGCGTGTCTGGTGTAGAAGAGCCGGGGGCGGGTGGGCACACCTAGAGATCACCACTCTGGGCCCGGTCTGAGTGTATCTTTAAAGTGTCCGCGTCAGGTCTTGAGTCACAGGCTCTAGTGATGGGTGTGTGTGTATGTGAGGGAACCAACTTTGTGTTCAGAAGGGTCTGACTACATTGTACCCAGAAGGAAGAAAGAACCCTTGTGCACTGTGCATCTGTGGTGTGTGTGTGTGTGTGTGTGTGAGAGAGAGAGAGAGAGAGAGAGAGAGAGAGAGAGAGAGAGAGAGAGAGAGAGAGAAGAGCGAGAGACTGACTGGCGGCGCCCACTGTGGGCTGCACAGCTCGGAGTGCCCTGTGCATTCGTGAGAGGTCCAGTCGGGGTCCCGCAGCCGGTCAGCGTCACCCTCTGCTGCATCTGTCTGCCCCAGCTGCCAGCTGTGGGGCGCCGGGAGCAGGAGCAGGCGAGGGGTCTTTGCCCAGGAGCAGTCTGCCCTCTGAGCCCTCCATCAGCCGCTTCCAATAACCGCTCGCACCCTATGGGGCTGGCGAGCCCGGCACACTGCTCGGAAACTGTCCGGGTCCAACGCGGCCCTGCGTGCTCCCGAAGATGACCGCATCTTCCTTCCCAGCTCCGTGAAAGTGAGCCCGGAAAGGGACGCGGGGCGGGGACACCCCTCCCGAATAAATAAACAGATACTTAAGGAGGTCCTCGCTGCAGCTGGACACGGTTGGTTGAGCCCAGGTTGGTGGCCTATGGAGTTTCCCGGTTCTGCTGTCTCTGGAACCCATCGCTGCTATCCCGCTCCCCCCATCCCCAGCCCCCGTCACCCCTTCCTTTCTTGCGGGGGCCTTGCACCCTCCACCCCCAACTTCGGAGGCTTGGGCTGGAAGGCGCGGGGGCGCGGGGCTGCACCTGTCCCGGAGGGCGCGCGGGGGGTTCGAGCTGGCGCTCTCGCCCGGGCGCTGGCACGGGTGCGCCCGCGTCGTGGGCGCCCGGCGAGGATGGACCCGGCGTGGATGCCCGGGAGCGAGCCGAGGACTCCTGGCGGGTAGGGGCGCTGGAGCCGGGATCTGGCACCGGCCAGGAGGTCGCCTCCCCCTCGCCCGGCCACCTCTGAAAGGGGGCGCGCCTGGGGTGGGGGCTCGCGGACCCGGGCAGCGATTGGTGGCTCGGCTGGGGAGGGCCAACCGCGGAGCTAGCTCGCCGCGCTAGTGGGGGGCGACCAACTTCCCGGGAGAGGGGCTTTTTCCGGGCTGGGCTG